CTGTTACTGAAAAATACACAATCTAACTTTTTTTCACTTTGGCTTTTTCTTTTATAAATGAAGATTTGTGGTAAAAGTCAAAGACAACGCCAAGTCACATAGGGCATCATTTGTCACTGCTTTGTAATAGAAATATATCTCATAAGTATTTTTAACTTGAATTTCAAATAATTTAAGATTTTTTATTAAAGCTCTAGTCCAAGTTTCCAGCTGTTAAATTTTCAAAAAATATAATTTGGGTCTCTGATAGAACTTAGCTAGGCTAAGCTACTTGGATAACCTTACAGGACAGTGAGGTTCAAACAGAAATCATTTCCTGAACGTGGTTGATCTTTAAGAGAACAATTTCCTCACCCAAACAGTTATGCAGGATACTGCCAGATCTCCACTACAAAAAACCTGCCAGAATTTCTAGACAATTGTTTACCATCCATGTTAAAAACCTTGTACCACCGGAGGCAAAGCAGATAAAGTAAACTTGTTTCTAGTCTATTCACCTAAATAAACTCATAAAGTCGTATAGAAAAATGAATAGAAAGTAATTTTATCTGATCTGTCAGCCAAAAAAATCATTACTAATTCTCTATAAAAAAGAGAAAACTCAACCATAACATGTTTAAATAAAAATGCCAACATTGAAGTCTTTTAACAGCAAGACATAGAAAAAAGTTTGCAAATGCAAGATGATGCTTAAAATGAAAGCTATGGTTTGAAATTAGTATTCATAGTAAGAGACTAAAATCTTGTCACTGCAAAATTCCCCTTGGCTTTTGGCATCGACATTGAAAGATTTTAGTCTTTTGGTCACTTGAAGCTGCTACAAAATACAACAATAAGCCTTTAAAATGGGGGCAGGGGAAGTATAGAATTGAAAGACAGTTAAGGTAACTACATCATATACAAGTAAAACGTAGTTTGAAATAAACAGTCATTTCTGCTAGGGATCTGAAGATATAAGAACAGTTTTCCACTATCCCTTCCTTTTTGAAGAGGATCCTCTAAAGAAAATAATTCCTATAAGTTACTGTTAAGTGGTGTTGCCTGGCAGCAGCTTCAATAGGCTAGTTTCAGCAGTCTTCAATCCAAGTAATTAAGTAATCTTACAAGGAATAATCATACATGGCAACAGGGTAAAAAAGCAGGGCAGTTCTTCCATGCACAAACATTTCAGGAGAAAAACCATTAATTTTAAAGATAACCATCAGGTTTCAGGTATCCTAGCACACTCTAAACCTAGGTTTTGCTTTATACCATTGGTGACTAAAATTAACAATAAGTTTTGCAGTGAGGTGTTTTGTTTTGTTTTTTTGCCTGCAACTATATACACATTGCAAAACTATTCTGCGTCACATGATTTTAAATGAAATAAATACAAAAATGAAACACACAATCAACACATAACTTTAATACTCCACATTTATCTTGATCACAATGGTGGTAACCTCCTAGTCAACAATCTTGTGAGTTGAGGAGTTGATTCTCATTCTCATATCCATCAGGAAGATACGCCCTCCGTAGCTGGTCTGACTTAGGTATGGAGCCTCCATTCTTCACATGGCGAGATAGGAAAGCACGGACTGCTGGGTGATCAGCCTTCTCAAGTGGGATGTTGGCTTCCAGGCACATTTTCACAAAGTCCTGGATAACACTGACTTTCTCTGTTTGCGCAGTACTGTTGCACTGAAGAGATGCAGTTAGGGGCCTCTGCTTCTTTCTCACATTCTGCTCTTCAAATTCTGCCTTCCTCTTGGTATGAGTCTTTGACTTGAGGTGGTCACTAATGGCAGACTTGCGAACATGATTCAGAACCACATTGCAAGAAGTGCAGAAGAGTTTTCCTCCATCCTCATGCAGCTCACCTCCAAACTCAGTGACTCGATCCAGGGGAGTCACATACAGAGCAGTCTTAGAACGGTTTCGAGCAGGTGGTGCTGTTACTACAAATCGCTCCATTCTGACTCTAAATAAATATGGTTCTTTCAAGACAAAAGAAACAAAGATAAGTATTATAACAACAGTTCATTCTGGAACAATAAAAGGCAGTATATAAACACTTTAAGATTAAATACTTCAAAACAACTTAAATTAGTAGACTGTGTGTCTATTAATCTTAGCTTACCTGAAATATATAAGGAAAGGCAAAACTAGAACAAGTTACTAAGCAGTAGCAATCAGGTCTATTCCTTGATTTTTATGAAATTCAAATAAATTAGACTATAAAGAAAGAACTCAAACTATCCCAGATGTCACTATTATTTAGGGAAACCTAATAACAGTCAACATTTAGGATATAAATTACATTCAGGATATAAATTGTATTAATCTCATCCAATTTAGATATGCATTCAAGTTCAAAAGAGTTTCTTTCCTGTCACAATTCTGGGACAACTGAGTTTAGAAAACTGTGGACAAAGTTTTTCAAACAGGTGGGCCTAAAAACTGCCATAATTCTATATGAAGATGAATATAATTTCCAAAACTGTTCTGAGTAAAAACCACAAAAAAAAAAATTTAATTAACAGCAACAATGACATTAAATTGTAAATCCAAAATACACAGTTCAAAGTAAGTTATTTTGTAATGCATGTATACCTCTGTTTTCTAAAAGGTGTTACGATATGCAGTCTTATTTCTCCAATACTTTTTTGTTTCCTTTTCCCATTAAAATTAGTAATTACATTTAACATTTACTTCACTTATTAACTAGTAAGAACAAAATCAAGAACATAGTGTCTAGTATACAGCAGAACCTCAATTAAAATTTGATGGAAAAAGTGAGTACCTTCACTATTTGTCCAAATATTTATATTTAATCTAGAAGCAGCCTAATAATTTCTCAATTTACAATAGTAACACACTTTTATGAGCACTGCACTAAATACCAACATCACAGCCTTATGGGCATTGAAACCTTTAGATAATGAACATATTTTGGTAGGTGACAAATCATCAAGTCTTAATTGTTCCCTGGCCATCCCTTTGGGCTCTTACAATAACCAAGACTTAAGAAGTTAAAGTGAATTTGATAAAATTCAAGATGGAATTCTGTCTGCATAAATATGATAGAGAAATAATTCTAAGTGTGCTCTGAAGAATTATGCTTTATAAGTGTAATCAGAAACGATAGAGTATTCAATGAATACATACTAGAGAATAGCTGGGTAACATGAACTCTGTTTCAAAAGAACTTTATTTGCCAACGTATCAGACATTCATGGACACAGAAGATTAAACATTCCACAGAAATTCTGAAAAGTACGACAAAGTATAGGTTTTAATAGATTTACTTTTATTTTTTCCACTTTTTTTTAAAATTGCATAGCTCTCATTTGCCAAATATTGTGTTAGGCTACAGGTTTGCAACGGCAGAGAAGACAGCTATGATTCCTACCTAATACTTACCATTACACGTTTATATTCTAAGTAAATGGTATGTGTTTTACACTCCCCCGACAAATCAGTACCAATTATGATTAACGGTTCTAACCTAGTTGTGGGAAATATTAAATATTTGTGCCCCGTAATACGTAAATCTTACTTTCTACGTAAAAAGTCTTGTATCTTTAAACATTTGGATTTCAAAAACAATAAGCATGTAATTCTTTATAGCATAAAATGTTCAAACATTTGTGCTAATGTGAAAGGCCTATACTTTCCAATGTGTTTGTAATTTCAAAAAGTCTGTCTGTGTTACTGCAGAGGCAAATTTCCACCCAGTAGAGGATGCTCGAGTTTACACACCCAAAGAACAAAAGTGTTTTCAGTAGAAGATAAAGACATTTTCAACAGATGAAGAAATTAAAAAGTGGAGGAATTAGCCAACAAAAGAGAAAAAGCAAATCATTTACTAGATCAAAATAAAACTCATCATAAGTTTTCAAGTTTAAATGTTTACCGGATTAGTTTCCAGTTTTTTTCGTCTTGATACTTAGCAGGGAAGGGTCTCCAGAGCAAAACCAGAGACGCATCAAATCCTGGCACTTTCCGTTTGTTCAACCCCGGAGATGCCTTCAAATCAGTTTTTCAACAAGTGGTGGTGGGGAAATAGTTTCTGGGCTTACACTCAATTTTCCCTGCGGTGCCAGGAAGTCATGCCTTTACTGTAAAACACGAAAAACAAATGGAAGGAAAAAAATGGGGGACGGAAGGAGGGCGACTGAAAAGATGAACAAGAACGTCAACAACTGCCACCACGAAGGTGTTTCTAAAACCACTTTATAGGTAACTCCACACTACACACCCGATCCCAGCGTTTACCCTAACACTTCCCCTCCCATGTCCTCCTCCGTGGTCCGCCCGCTTGGCACCTCCTCCCGCTCCCCAGGCCTCAGGGTTCGGGCGGGGGCGCGGGAGAGGCGGGGCGCGGGACGTTC